GTCGTAGCTTTAGGAAAAGACCTGCAATTTTTTTTAAATTTAGTACAGGGTCTTACAGGGTCTCACTACCGAGATCAAACTCATAGTGATCCTCCTGTTTTCAGCCTCCCAAGTACTGGGATTATAGGTGTGCACTACCACACCCAGTCTCAGTTGTTGCCATCTCAGTGCACCTCCAGGTGCGGGGCCGTACAGCAGGGATTGAACCCCACTGGGCCTGCCCAAGCAGGTGCTTTAATCTGCTAAGCTCTCTGCCCAGCCTGGCATATACACTTCGAAGTTCAGAGTTTTCCAAAGGTCCCTACCAGCCAGTATGTATTACACTCATATGCACATTTAGACTTGGTATTGGCTAATAGTTTGATTTTATGAATCTTGTTTGTGTGTATCAGTTTGTTTTGGGGACAGTCTCACTATGTAGTTGAGGCTGGTCTTGAACTCAAAACACTCCTGCCTCAGCCTCCCCTTTGCCATGATTACAGGTGTGTGCCACCATACATGGCTTAATTTTGTGAATCTTGAGGGACTAACAGACTGATTGCTAATGGGTTGAACGCTTTTTCAAATGTTTCTGACACATTTTGTTTCTTTTTTTTTCACACCTGCATTCTTTAATATATATATGTTTTTTAAAAAAACATGATATCTGTGTATTATAATGAATTCAAAACATGCTGAAAATCCCAAAGGTGGAAGTTGAAAAATGAACTCAAATTTCACCAGCCAGAAATAGCTAATAACTCATTTTGTTCCTTTTATAGAGTACCTTTCTTTGTCCATTTATATCAAATCAATTATCTGCTTGGTTTTTTTTTGTAGTTTTGAGACAGGCTCTCACTATGCAGTTCCTCTGGCCTGGAGCTCACTTTGTGCCCCAGGCTGGTCTCGAACTTGCAATGATCTTCCTATTTTAGCCTCCAGAGTGCTGAGATTACAGGCGTGCATCATGATGCCTGGTAGAATCTTTTTTTTAAATTTATTTATGTGTGTGTGTATGTATGTGTGTGGCCAGCTCAGCCCACCAGGGGGTGGGGTTGACTGGCATGTGGTGCTGGGGGTGGTCCCTTTGCTAAGTAGGTGCCTTAGACCACTGAGCCATCTCACCAGCCCTGCCTGGTGGAATCTTTTAGTTTCTATATTTAGGGAATTTTTGTACTTTTTTTTTTTTTTTGTGGAACCAAGGGTTGAACTCAGGCCCTTGCACTTGCCAGGGAAGCGCTTATTCTACTGAACCATATCTCCGGCCCCAAATTTTTGTACTTATGTCACAGAAAAAATCTTTTCCAATGTGGCTTGTATTCTTAATTCATTTTTTGTTCCTAATATTGGCTACTTCTTCACTCTTTTTCCTCTGTGATCATTCTCATTATAATTTTCTCAGGTTTATTAAAAATCCTTTTCAAAAAATGAACTTCCGACAGCAAATAAATATGTGAAAAAATGTTCAGTATCACTAGTCATTTGAGAGATGCAAATTAAAACAATACTGAGATTCCATCTCACCCAAGAAAGAATGGTTATCATCAAGAAATCAAAGGGGCTGGGGACATGGTTCCGTGGAATAAGTGCTTCCCTGACAAGTGCAAGGGCCTGAGTTCAATCCCCGGTTCTGGGAAAAAAAAAAAAAAAAAAAAATCAACCAACAACAAATGCTGGAGGGACTGTAGGGGAAAAAATGAATCTTTTCTCTTCTGCTGGTGGAAGTGTAGACTGGTGCAACCACCCGTGTAGAGATTCCTCAAAAAATTAGGACTGAGGGCCAGTGAAATAGCTCAGTGGACTAAGCGCCTGCTTAGGCAAGCACGGGGACTGGGGTGTGGTGCCTGGCACCTCATACTGCCCCCAGGCATGCTAAGCCAGCTAGGAGACCAGGCACCAGGTGGGGTGCGCACGCCTGTAATCCTAGTGCTCCTGTAATCCCAGTGCCCAGGAGGCTAAGAACAGGGGATCACTATGAGACTGAGCTGTGTAGTGAGACCTTGTACCAAATACGTTCAAAACAAAGCAAAACTAAGACTGGAGGTCCCATTCGACCCAGCTATCCCCTTGTTGGGTACCTTACCAGAAGAATTAAAAACACCATACCACAGTGACACATAGACACCTATGTTTATAGTTGCATTTTGTAACACCTAAGACTTGGAAACAAATGCCCATCAACTGATGAGTCAATCAGGAAGATGTGGTTATTATCCAAACAGATAAAAGGCAACAGCTATAAGAACTAAATGCACCAGAACTAGCAAATATCAGGAAGGTAAAAGACAGCAACTTAGATGAAGAATTTCAAGACGACCTGGGGCCGCCGGATCCTGAATAGACCCAGAGCGCAGGCCTGGCAAAGTGAAGACCCAGCGCGGAACCCTTCAGCGGAACTCCCTGCAAAGAGGCTAGAGGCAAGACCCACCCAGCTGATTCAGGAGCAGAACATCTTGCCAGAGAGACACAAAGGGTTCAGCTCTAAGG